AGAAAGTAAGATAAAGCTTTTACATAAAAATGTAGAAGCTTTGGTTCAAACCTGTTTTGTTTTGCATGCCCCGGATTGTCGTATAGGCCGGATTAGAAGGTGATAAAGCTGTCAGATGTCACACAGTTGACTGCAGATTCTTTTTCATCGTTTTTAATCCAGACTTTTTGATCATAAGAAGTTGCTAATCAGGAGCTATTAGTGCTCTGATCTGTAAAACAGTGCTGCTCTTTATCTTCAAGCCTCTTTCAAAATAAAAAAATGCAGCATGTGAGTCAGAAGACGTGTGTCTAAGTCTGCATTTGTGCCTTGAATATGGCTAAAACTGAAAATGTGGAAAAACTGGTTTTCTCAGATGACTCAAAGGAGACTTTTTACTTACTTGACTGGCAAAGAAAATGAATGCACAACTTCAACTACATATTATTTTTAAAGATGCAAATGATTTTCCCGGAGCTGGCTCGCTGTGCGATGTTCTGGACTGGTATGAAAAGGCTGGACGCAAAGCTTCACGTTCATGGAAACTATGATGCAGGAAAGCTTTTCTTCCATTGTAAAAGAAGTCAAGATGTCGAAAGAGTACTCGCAGAGCACGCAGAAGCAGCTTTGGTTGGTTTGAGGAAATATTGATGACTTTTTTTCTATTTTCCGGCCTGCATGTCAAACATTTCCTCACGTTTCGTTGGGTCTGTGAGGGTTAAGGAAAGCCCTGAGCTGAGGCCTGTGAGAGATGAATGCACTGAGTTTACAAAGTGAATTCTGGACATAATTTCCTCTGAAAGCTTTATTGTGTTTGAATTTTATTTATGAAGACCAAATAACGCCTTGTCTATAACAATTATTATATTATAGTGTCATATGACATTAATATGAGATAATTCTCCCTGAAGATTTCAGCTGGTCATCACAGATTGGACTTTTATTTATTAAATCTAATGTCAAAAAAAGAAAAGGATATATAAGTAAATGTTTAAATGAAATTGGTGTAAAAGCTCTCACTGCCTACTGCTACCTTGTTTTTAGTGTAAATAATAACTAATTACTCAAAGTGCACTTTAATTTTGAATTTTTACTGTTAAATTTAATGATGCTTAATTTAAAAAATTGAATTTTGGGTCATTTTTGTAACCAGTTTTTACAGCAGCTGTATAACATTTTTACAAACTAAACAAGTGATGACTCATATACGATGACAGAGGTTTTATTCTTGCACTTTTCTCTCAATTAGCCACTAAAAACTGACTCAAGTGCACAGTTTGAGCTTTTATTTTCTTGTTATTTTCCTGGAGAACGAGAAAAAGGAGACGAGGCTTTGCACCCGAAACATTAAAT